TAATCAATCAGTTATTATAATCTAATAATATAATACACAGTATTATGAAATGGGACACTCTGCATATTGAGTACTTTTACTTTTGGTGCTGTAAGTTTTCGTTGTTGAATATACTTTTGTACTTTTACTGAAGCAAATGTTAAAGGTATTTCTGAACTGCAGTATTGCCATACTTACTTCTGCCACCACTGCCTATGGCATTCAACAACAGGGATGCCTTGAAGAACGCACAGTAAGAAGTAGCATGCTGTCAGAAAGTGTCCACAGAGACTGAGTTGTTGGTCCACAGCCAGCCCTGTCCTCTGCCCCTGTGTTATTCCTCCCACTGTATTCCTATTTTCATGCCCCTACATTGCCGGCTAGCCAAATAATTACACTCCTGCTGTCTCCCACCACACTAGAGCTGAGAAGACTTCGCTCACTCTTTTCTTTTTGCTATTTCACCCCAATAGTCAGAGTATTGTTTCACACAATTTGCACTCCACTTGTGGATCAAGTGGTGAGAAGGCCTGGACGTGTACAGCCTTGCCTTTCCAGGGCCGTGTGCCAGAACAGGAGGAGGGTCCATTGTATGCCTCTGCGCGGGTCGTCCGACTGTCCGTCCTTCCTTCCAACTGTCCGTCCATCCGTCAGTACCTACAGTCTATTCTCACGATCGCGATATCTCAGGAATTTCCTTCAAATTTGGCTCAAACGCCTCCCTGGACTCAAGGATGAAGTGTCACTGCGACCTCACAAAACACATGTTTGGCCATAACTCAAGAATTCATAAGCTAGTTATCAATATCACACAAATATCCAACAGGATGAGATTGTGAAATGGTGACATTTTGGACAGATATGGATGTAAACTGCAACATAACAGGTTGGCGGAGGCATATAACCGAGAGGTGGTAGTTTGTATAGCTTTTTGAGAAAGCATTCTGGGTTACGTGAGCGTTTTAAACCGATCAGACTCTAACACTGGAGCTGAAATGTGCTCTTGGTAATTATAGTGACAGTTTTTATCAAGTCAGTTAAAGATAGTCTACAAATGCTGCTGTGCTTTATTCCTTCATTTCTTAAATCTTGCCTTTTGATTCGTCTCATATTGATAGACAACTATGTCAACATGCTGTTACCAGAGTCTGATCAATCAATCATTTATAGCACCTTTCGTACAGGTCAGTGCAGTTCAACGTGGAACACAGACGACACGATCAGACAAAAGTAAGACAGTACAAATGTTGACCGAGAAAATAGTTTAAAAAAAATTTGATTTATCAACTTGAGACCAATGCATGTGGGACAATAAAATGATAAAATGTAATAAAACAGAATTAAAAGCTATAACAACAGAAGTGTTAGTAAAAAAAAAAAACATTAAAATACAGCCGCTTGTTGCGTAACGGTTCGTTGTTTAGCACAAATTCCGTGAATTTGTCTTTGCGTTGAATTGATCATGATCACCATATGGGCGGAAGAAATGATGCACTGAGAGGGAAAGCGGAGATTGACTCCAGCTTTGATAGGAGAGAGAAAAAGGAGAACAATAGCAAAGAAGTGCGAGAGAGAGAGAGACCGGTAACGTCAACGGTCATAATGTGATATGTATCATGCTTTAATGTGCGGCAGACTCAGTCAGGCCCTGATTATGGTGTCTGTTCTTGTCGGCTGTCACTCACCATATGATACAGGTACATGTAGAACACAGCTTTAGGAGGACTTCCTGACCGTTTGATGACAACTTTAGCACAAAAGCATCCATGTGTATTTAAGAGGATTCATGTTCTTGTAGTGTCTTTGGGAACAGAGGAAGTAGTGGAATCAAATGAGCATAAGCAAACATGATGATGTGCTGAGTTAATTTATTTGCAAAAACTTCATCAAGAATGTAATATCTTCATAATTATGCAGAAATGGTTACCACACAATACGTCCACACTACAGTTATTGTACATTATCTGTTTTGTATTCAGTTTATTTTATTATATCATAATTTGCAATTATTTTTGTTTTTTCTCTCTCTCTCTCTCTCTCTCTCTCTCTCTCTTTGACATTTTCCTTTCTTTACCATGCATTGATTTGAAAGGCTTAATTTTACTGGACTATGTGGCTGTCTCTCAGACTCTTGGACTCCACAGATCAATAATGAAAATGTGATCAAATGACCCGGAGAAAGTCAACAGAGCTCGGCTGATGGATTTAGCTCAGCACAGAGCCTTTGGTTCTGTTGTTTTCAGTGGCAGCTTTGTTATTAACTCCTCAAACCTGCAGCTTTTACAGGCAAAACATAGAGGTTTACGGAATCATTATCCCGAGATAACTATATGCACGTTAGGATTTCTCATCCTCAAAACTTCAACCATCTCCATTCCTTGGATGTGTCTCATGAATTAAAGAGATTTAAATTTGAATCTACAGTATATGTAATTATTTTCATTATTCTTTCGAGGGAATTGCACATAAAACATGTGATGTAGTCTTTTGTTTCTGGTGCATTATATAACATGCTTTAAGTGTTGTACCACATGTAACACAGTTACTCTGACAAAACATGTGGGTGTCTTTCTCTGAGGATGTATCAACTCCTCGTTTAAGTTAATGTTTTTGCTTGATTTTCTTTTCTTTTTTTTGCCATAATGAAAGTTCAAAAATCTAATTATAGTCAAGTGTTCACAATATTGAGTGTCTTCCTTATCAGATCATCCTGAATGAAGGAAACATTGCTGACTTGCAGTCCTTGAAGTTCTCAAGTCTTATTATAAGATGCTAGTGGGTGCTAGAAATTGAATACAGGAAACTCCAGGGGTGACCTGTCAGAGACGATTTATTGCTTATAACATCATAAAGTGAGGCATGCTTTGGCCTAACAGGCTGAACTAAGATCTATATGGTTTGAACATTTCTCTGCTACAGTCTGACTAGATCATATACTGATCAAACAGGATAATAGTTTATAGGTAATAATAGATTATAGGTAACAGACTGTTGTAAATTGTATTCAGTGTTTTGTATTCAGTAAATTCAATTCAATGTTATGTGAAGCTCTGTGCTTTGCAGGTCAATGCAATGTACCTGAAATTTATGGTAAAGCTGTAATAAACTGTATTTTTATATTAAGAATGGTGTGTAATAGATAATTCCTTTCACTTTTACTTTGACAACTTTATATGGTGATAACATGTCGGTTGTGTTTACAGCTTGTTATACTCCCCCCCCAAGTGGCCAAATAAATGAGTAATGAAGTCGCAAAGCACGAATGCATTCTGCAGATGTTTGCTAAATCAAACTTTTGTCACCCCACAAAATGTAATATAAAGGTTGTTTTTTTTGTCTTTGTTACTTACAAGCATGTGCGTCCCATAAAAGACGTCTACCAGGCATTCACTTGTTGCTCTGTTGCAAAGAGTCATATTTGCACGTGGTGTGTTTTGCTATGCGGCAGCTGCATTATGCTGCTTAATGGAATTTAATAAGGCAGGCTACATCAGCAGCCTCACGATAATTGTCCATTACTGCGCTCGTCTGACATCCCATGTTGTTGTGTACTGTTTTGCATTGTGCACTGCAGATACTGAACACATGCTGAACGATAAGACTCTTTTGACCCGTTCAGTGGCAACGAGAGACTTTTAAATATATTCCCTATGACAAACCGCAACCTAACTTTTCAATTAAAGCTGCGGAGAATAATAGCATTTTTCAGTCAGAGGGATGATGTGTTTTGGTGTGTGCTGTTTGTTTTTAATCATAATGATTGGGCTTCATCATTGCAGCAACATTGCAGTGTGTTCCAGCAGCTGCCCGTTTTGAAAAAACACACACACAGACATTGACGGAACTTCACCTTCCAGCGGGACAGAAGAAGGAAATATATCCGTTATTTTATGGTCACCAATTTTGCTGGCGTGGCTATTGATGGTGGAAGTTGGGGCATCATACCCTCGGAGTGTTTCTCTCACAGATGGTCCGGTCCTAATGAACCAGACACGAGCCAGATGCCTCCGTGCTGCACTACACAAGGTCCTGTGTGGTGATATGGAAGGAATCTCGCATACATTTTTAATTGATGACAGAGACAGGCACCATGAGGCCACATGGAATTTGATTTAACGTTGTCTTATGGAACATAAACTGGTGTATAAAATGTCATACTGTTTGGAGGGGATACATGATTTTAATGGAGGATTCAAGGAGGGTTCAGGGACCTGTTGAAGAACATTTCACCAAATATTCTACAATGTAGCTGGTACATGAACAAAAAACGTAAAGACAAGTAAAGGGAAAAAAGATTCTTGACGATTAGACGCTGTAAAGTTATCACTGTTTCTACTTCAAACATATACAGAACTTCAAAATAACCTCTTTCCTGTCCATGCTCTTGGTTATTGCTTTACTAAGCTTCAGTGTATGGGATGGTGATGGACGCATTGCAAACCATCTGTGATCATTACAGTGTTGTGTAAAATAAGGCATCCTGAGCGTTTTGTGTGTTGGCTGGCAGCCTGTGCCTCTCTGTCGGTCTGTCTTTGTCTTTCTGCTCTCCATCTGCCTGCTCATGTGTGTGTGTGTGTGTGTGTGTGTGTGTGTGTGTGTGTGTGTGTGTGTGTGTGTGTGTGTGTGTGTGTTTGCTTGTAATCCATTTCTACATCACTCTTGAGCAAGTGGCAGTCAAGATATTAATAAGTCAAGATCAGACAACGCCGTTATTGGATACATTCATCATTCAAATGGCAAGATGACACTTAATATTGCAGCGGGATTCTAATCTGAATTTAATGTTACCAGCCTTTGAGATGACATTAACTGCAGTTTTGGTATGGCCAAACTGATCAGCAGCAGTTCAAAAAGCTCATTAGAATAAACGTTTTTCAATAGCTGAGAAAGTTTGGCCATTAAATGTGCAAAAGGAGGCGTCCATTTTCTCCCTCTCATTTGTTCCACAGGGAGCGTTGTGTCCAGTAGAGGGCAGCACAGAGTGTACAATAGCAAACTAAATGCCTCCTCTTCTCTTCCAGGGCCAAAGTGTTTCGGGGAAAGAAGGTCCTTGGAGACTATGACATCAAAGTTGAGCAGGTATGGTATTGATTTTATAGACCTATGATGCTGTAATTTATTTGAGGTTGAGGGGGAGCTGAACAGGGATGAAAGTGAACTGACACCATATTTACGTTTGATATGGAAATATATTTCAACTGACAAGCTGAAATATACTCGTCACCAACTACTAGTCACCACAAGTCATAAGTGCATCTCCTCTTTTAAACAAGCATCTAAGAGCATAAACCAGAGCAAAAGTACAGTGCAGAAACAAATGAATACAATAAGTGCAACAAACAACTAATAATTAGACGGATTCCTATTCAATTTGGAACATATGTTCATGGTCTCCAGAGGATGAATCCTGTGGACTTCAATGAACTCCTCACTTGTATCTTTAAGTTATTTAGTGAAATATCTCAACATCTGCCAGATAGGATGGCAGAAAGTTATTACAGACATTCAGGGTCCCCAGAGGATGAATCCTGATGACTCAAGTGAAGTCCTGACGTTTCTTCTAACTCCAGCATTAGATTTACATTCATCGTTTTGATTGAAATATCTTTCGACTTCTGGATGAACTGTCATAAAATGTGCTACAGATATTATTGGCCTCTAGAGGCTAAAGTTGAGTTAAAACTTTAACTTTTCCCTGAAGTTTGTTTTCTAGCGTCATCATCAAGTCAACATTTGCTTAATACTTTGGTTTATGGACAAATACCAGCATTGTGTACTGTATATTTGTATGTTTTATTGATGTGTTGTGTTATGTGTATTGTATGTACTCGGAGAAGCTAAAGACAAATGTGTATTGCGGTGGACGATAAAGTCAATCTTTCAATCTGTTTATCTGAATTGATGATGTTCCCATCAGTCTCAGGTGTACTTTGTTTCAGACTAATTAGCAAATGTCAGCATGCTAACAGCTCCTGGTAATATTACCTTCTGAGCATCAACATGCTAGCATTGTCGATGTGAGCATATTAGCATGCTAATACTAGCATTTAGCTCAAAGCACACGAGAGCCGCCACCATAGCTGTAGACTTCTATTGTAGTCTTGTAATCAACACAAATATTTGCAAAAAAATATAATATCGTCCAGAAATCTGTGTTACAGTGGTTTGCAACCCAGTCTGCGCCGACACTTTGCACTTGTCATCCACAGCACAAAATACTTTTGTGACGTGTGTGTTTATGCGTTTAAAAAAGTATAACCACACTTTTAAAACCACCAGTAGGCCTACTTATGTGAAATTACGCCAGTTGCTGTTGTTACGCAACATACTTAAGTTATTATACATATTGTATACTAACAGTAGTGACATTTTGGTTTCATATTGGTTAAACCACCCTTAACAGCAAACCATTTTGATTTTGCAATACTTGGTTACTGCATCTGAGATGAATACTCTCGGGGGTTGCACACCATACAGTTTCACTCCTAATAGATGTTGACAGTGGAGTTAGAACCTCAAGCCTGACCACAGAAACAAAAATACACACAAGAGGAGACAGGAGGCGACAGCTATGAGTCACAGAGAACTCCTCACTATGTGTGCAACCACACCAAAAAGCAAGCACACGCGCATTATTTTGCAAGAATAACTGATGCATACAATAATATACATGTGTTTGTATCCCAATAGGTATGAAAATAACTGTACTTATGGATTACAGTTAAAATACCACAACTTTCTTTCTTGCACAATGACCTTAACTATTGAGAATGTAATCATCTGATATTCTTCTTCTTGAATATGAGATTCTACAGCTATTTATTTAAGGCACTGGGAACCATTGCAGAATTGACACATATTATTATGCAACATTTACCATTCATGTGTATTTCATCACTTCCACATCAAGACTTAATATGTACAGCTAATGAAACTTGTGTCCTCTTTTCATCCTGGTAGGCTGAGTTCTCAGAGGTGAACCTCATCTCACATTCAAATGGAAACTGTAACGTGGACATGCAGGTCATCAGGAGCGGGACCAAAGTGGGCAGGTCAGCACCACATACAGATACACCCTCACTCATCACTTCTTCTGTGATTCTGAAAGGAACAAGCTGTGTTCATTTTGTCAAGTTTAGTCAAATCCTTCTTCCCAAACCCCAAATCCTAATTCCAAACCTGCATTTAACTGTTAACGATTATCCTGACTTCGACAATAAGATTAATCCCAAAATATAACCAATAAATACAAACAAAACTTAAAACTGTTCTACTCTTAAGAGCTTAATTAAAAAAGACCTACAATCCCCAAATACGACCAAGAAATAAAACCTGATCTATGCATCAATTAAAGCAGCAATATATGACATTCATTTGTTCGGGTCGTTTGAGGTGAGGTTGTATGAGGTACTTGTTCACAGTCAGTGTATTATTACTTATACCTACGGGGAGCACGCCTCCGGCTTGGAGGAGCAGACAAGAGTGATCGCACAGGAGCAAAGCTATACTGTATGTACTGCTGTGGACAGGGACGTCAGCAAAACTATATTAAGAATATATCCGCAGGTTTAATTTGCCATGAGACAGCCATTTCCGACGGGGAACTGGAGCTGTTGTATCCATCTGTGCTCTCGCCAAAGCCAGCAGACTCCCATTGAAGAAAACAGTAATTTTACCTCACAGAACATGGGGGTTGCTGGCCTACTGCTGCCTAGATCGGTTACTTTGTTTGTGTTATTGTGTGTGGAGTCTGGCAGCTTTGGCTAGAGCATAAGCATGAGGTCGGTCTTTTGTTTTAGGTGGCTAAAATATGTTATGCTGATCCCACCTTCCGGGTTCCTCCTCTGGTAAACACCGTTAGCTCTGTCAGCATAATTTGAAATAATTTGTATCGTTAGTGCTGTTAGCACTGTTAGCTATAAGCCGCCAGCTCAGGCATCGCCATGTTGGGAGGCAATCAAAATGTTCACAATCTGGTATCTTGCACACTTAAAGATGATCCAAATACTTTATTTTGCAAGACCCGACAGAAGATCCTTGTTTACAAGAAGCTCTGATTAGTCTCTACCCGCAGACTGGCCCAGTACAAACATGGGAACGTACCGTAACCCAGACAATCACACAGACCCACTCATACACCGCAAACCACACTGACACAGATACCAGTGTCCCTGTAGAAGACTGCCAGTGATTATGCAAGACTGTAACTCCCACTGCTCACCAACCAACAAAACCAACAGGAAGTGAAGACCGCAGTCTGATTATCAGCCTCGCCGCCCTGTGTTTATGCTTTACGAGGGATTAGTTCACACACAAACAGTGGCCATTGACTGAGATAGTGTGGATTCAGGGGAACCTTGATTCATGGCAAATGAATGTAGACAGACTGATTCACATTCACCTTTCCTGACAGTGTCATGTCCGCAGAAGCATCATTCTTTTACAACATCTCAGCTCCTTGTAGACCTCCAGAGTTGTATCATGACGTCAGTCTCGCCCAAACGTGGACTGGCTGTGGAGAAAATGTATGTGTTTACAACATAATTGTCTGTCTGTCTTGTTGTCTGCCTGCCTGAGTTGATTGCAGGTCAGCAGTGTGTGTTGCTCAGTAACCCTCACACCAAAGAAGATGTAATGTTTTCCAGATTTTGAAAATGTCACTACACGATCCTCAGCCTCACTCCTCTCTTTTTTTTTAACTGAGTGCAATTGAAGATCAAATATTGAGTTAAAAACGATTTGAAACAATGTAAACAGTGTAAAATATAAAAAGTTATTGTTAAAGTTGCAGTTGGAGCCTGAACAGTCAGCAGATGTGTTGTAAAGGAGATGTTGTGTATCATCACAAAAACAAACAATTTAAGGTAATTTAAAAGAAGTCTGTTGTTATTCTATTTTTTCCTCAAATCCCATGATCAAATCCAAACCAAATCCAAATGTTTTAGGCTCTCTCTCGGCACTACCTTATCCTGTCTGTAGCTCTCAGCTCTCAGCCCATTTGTTCCCACAGAAAACATAAATCTAAAATTAGAAATGTAACAAATATACAGCATAGTGTAATTCTTTTAAAGGCTAAATCATTTCTTAAAAGAGCTGAGCACTGTAGTTTATTTTCAAACATTACTCAAACAAGAGTATGCCAAACAAGAGGGGCCTTCATTGGTGATGATTTTCTTCTCATGCTAGTGAGTTTTTAGGCAGCAGGACGGTGTACGTGGGATCACGGTGTATATGGCACAGAGGAGTTTGTGTTAGCTTTGAGAATGCATCATCATCGTGAGGCGCTATAATACTTTAATTTATGACCAAATACCTGCAAAAGTGATTGATATCAGCATCAGTTGTACCCTTTGTTTAGTGCTAATTAGCTCACGTTAGCATGCTAACATTTAAAACTAAGATTGTGAACATAGCACCTATTTATCAGCATTTTAGCAGGCTGATGTTAGCATTTAGCTAAAAGCGCTGATGTGTCTAAAGCCTTACAAAGCTACCAGCATGGCTGCAAACTCTTAGTCTTGTTTCATATTGCGTTGCATCAAAAATGCAATATGCATTTAAAAAAATCCAAGGTGAAAGCTCATTCGGATGTCTGTTGCCGTGCTGGCAACAGCAATTCAGGGTATTTAAATTGTGAGTGTTGACCATGTTGATCTTTACAGCCTACTGTCAGCAATGATGTGATTACAGTCAATTGCTGTGTCTCTTTTTCAGTTTCTTGAAGAGTCTGATTAGTATTCTCGGTGCAGGAAGAGCTGGTGGTGGTCACACTGTGCCAGAGTTTTCTCACTCTGTGACTGTTCTCTCACTCCTCTACATCTCTTTTACTCTGCATTTTTCCTCTCTGTCTCTTTTCTCTCACCCCCCCCCCCCCCTCACATTCCCTTTCTCTCACACACACATTCAGGGACAAAAGGAAAAATAACAGGAGTCACGCCCTATCATCATCAACCTTCCACTGAGCTGGACTGCACTGAATATTGTTTTTGCCCTTAATCTGCTGGACACCGATTGCGTCTGTGAGCTCTAGAGCTGTTGGTTTCAGTGTTTTGCTATCGAGACCGATAAAGTTTAAAGTAAAACACAAAAAAAAATCCAAACAATCCTACACAACGGTAATAAATCATAAAAACCCCTAACTTGGAACCCATTATTGTCAGCCATTTAGCATTTGTTTTCTATTCACTTGTGTGAATTCATCCATCCTCCATTTTCTATCAAGTTTTGAATGCCAGATTCCCTCTGCACTGCAGTGCTCGGCACTGTTGACTCCACCTTTGTCCTGGGGAGTTCTGCAGACAGACACCTCTGTGACACACACGTCACCAGCAGATCATTTCACCAGGAGGGCAAAATGTGTGGGAGGTTCACAACTTCCTCCCCAGCCGCTTCCAACCCCAGCTCGGGATGGGCAATACCACAACATATAGTTTCAATCTCATACCGTGGCCAGAATCATCTTAAATACAGATACTTTTTATTATTAAAAGGGCCTAATGTACTAAAGGTCCTCCAAATTACACAACAAAATACAACACACATCTCTAGAAAACACATAGAAGTGTTTCCCTAATCTGACATCATTTGTCTCTGAAACTGTTACAAATAACTGTTTTGGTTATTAAGATTTGTTTAGGTTTAGGCGGGAAAACAACTTGATTAAGTTTGGAAAAAGTTCTTTAGGTTATAGGGAAACATTGTAGTTTGGGTTCAACTGAGTCAAGATGAAATGAAAAATGCCTTTTTAGATCACATGCTCTGTCATATTGTCCACCTGTTCAACAATATATTCAAGAATATATCCAATATCTTATTTATTTCCAACTGCAACTTTTACTTTTACCCGCTCATTTCTAAACGGCCCAATCAAATGTGAAGGGTTTGATTTAAATCCCTCTTGTAACTGTACACCACTCAAATATGCATAATAGCATTAACATTATGGACCAATAGCGGTCAATCTTAAAAAAACAACAACATTGCTTGTCAGTAGATTACAAGAAAACTGTCTTTTGAGTCTTGTTGACTCATCTGTTCTGCCTTCCTCACTATGCAGACTTTGTCGCTTTATATCGGCGTCACCTCACTTCCTGCTTTGCCACCGCCTTTGTTACTGCGGCTGCTAGAGGGCTTCGTCACTTGAATCTGAACATGTTGTTTTGGGAAACGAACGATGCTCTCATTGTTCTTGTAAGGACAGTTTCCTAATGTACTATCATGTAGTAGAGGAGAAGTGTAAATGTACACTTCTGAATACATTTTCATGACAACCAACTCATTTGTCATCTGTTCTCTGTTAGCAGCAGCTAACACAGCTTCAAAACTTGCAGGTTACTCTTCTTAATTACATTTATTTTTATCAATGACACTATTCTATACAAACAAAATATACTGATAAAGTGATGCTTGTCAAATTGTATATTTGATAAAGCCCTATGATTTAAATAGCAGTGTCATTTTCCTGAGAGATAATGTGAAAATAAGTGTAACACCAATCACCCTCGTCAGGCTTCATTTACCATCAAACTGCTTCATGGGTTTAGTGTGACAGAAAAAAAAAAGATCCTCTTCAGTTTTATTTAGCAATCCTAAACAGAGAGCTTAGTAAGAATCCCTCACAGATGATGATCTATTCTGAGACGAGAGATGCTCCATCGTCTTTCTTTCTTAGTCCAATTTGAGTCATTGATGTGGTGAGACAGATTTATTCTATTACTGCCACAGTATCCTCAGTGGAAAACAAATGTATTACCTTTCACTTGTGGCTTTGTGGGTATTTCCTCTCGACCATGACCTTTATTTAATGCCATCCCTTCTCTTTCTTACATGCAAAAATGCAGGTCAGTGGCATCTGCATCCAAAAATGGATTTGGTTTTGGATTATTATTCTGTTAACACAGGCTATGTGGGGAAATACTAATATAAGTGATATACAGTAAAAGTAGGAATGTGCATCTGTTTCAACCTTCTTTCTTTCTTCTTTATTCCATCTGCTGCTCTCACACCAGGTCTTTCAGGCCCGACTTCGTCTTGGTGCGCCAGCACGCCTTCAGCATGGCCCAGAACGAGGATTTTAGGAACTTGATCATCGGTCTGCAGTATGCGGGCGTCCCCTCAGTCAACTCTCTGGACTCCATCTACAACCTCTGCGACAAACCTTGGGCTGTAAGCAGCTTCACCACAACTCATTTACACCTGCAACAACCTACAAAGTATTTTATTAACTATAGTGTACATGAGGATACACAGATGTGGAACGATGTTTTTAATGGAGCTGGCTGCTCTAAATTCTAATTAAGATCATTTTGAGGATTTGTTTTTGGTGACTTTTTGTGCTGCCGAGCTCAGTTTAAAAAACACTAAGACATTGTTTATTACTATGCAAATATTGTAAATGTTCTTTACTATATTACTGTTGAAATACATGACACTTAATCAATGACCTGTTTTAACATTGCAGTTAACTTTCTCTTTCTCCATTGTCCCCTTTTCCACCAGTTTTCCCAGCTGATCAGTAATCAGAAGAAGTTAGGTTCAGATAAGATCCCTCTCATTGATCAGACGTTCTACCCCAACTACAGAGACATGGTAAGATTTACACTTTGTAGCTCACAACTCCGAAATCCCAGCTTCTCAACAAATGACAAAATGTCTCCATTAATGATCTTGAGATTTAGATATTTACAGTATATTTTGTGTTGTGAGTAGTTTCACTATTTGTCTCAGGGCAGCGAGATTGCAGGAGATGCAGAATTTAGGATATCACCGGTAAAACAAAACAAAAAAATCCTTTTATCTTATAGCATAAACACTTTCACATTAAAAGTGAAGTAAAGTAAAAGTAAAATGTTTACCACAAAGCGAAGATTATGCATTAAAGAGTAAAAGCACAAGTCATAATACCTTTCTGAGAATTCTTCACACTGCTATAGCTACTGCTGAAGCCCCAAATCCCTAAATTCAATTCATTGCAATTAACATGTGGTACTTTCATGTTTTAATGTCCTGAGGTAAGTATTTTTATTTTTTACACAAACAGAAAGATTACAAAATAAGACAAATATAAAATATAGTATGTTAATGTATATTACACAAGTGCGCAAGGTGATGTTGTTTATTTTGTTCATGCATTTTATTTACTTTATTCACTAGAGTGTTTATGAGGTAAATTATAGAAGTAAAGTATAAGCTATATATACGTTGCTCTGTAGGTACCAGAGTGTTCTTTTCATTACTGGCTTGTTGGAGATATTCTGCAACAGCAGTGACCCTTTGAAGAGCTTTACCTCTAGCCTTCACTGAAGAGCTGTTAAGAGACTTTCTTTCTAACATTGTGTTTACTGAAGAGAGAAAAGAAGAGCCAGTGCCACATTTTTCCATTGAGACATTTTATATACAATATTTTTTGGTACATGGAAATAGAAAACTCTATATAGACAGAAACAGAGACATAAATACAAACCCAAACAATTCTTTCAGTATAAAACAAACATGAAATTGTTTGATAACGCTTCACCAAAGCCATACATTTATTATGCATATCATATCATATCATGAAAGTCTATATTTGATTAACATATTTTAATATAGTATGTTTCAATTTAACTATTTATGAGTTATTCATGTAACATTTTATTGTTGAATGTGACCCTAATATAATCTTTGAATAGTGGCTCAGGTGACAATGCATTTTAATCTGTATGACTTCAGTGAAGTAATCCAGTAACAAGACAGGGGTCAATTCAGATGTGAGGTCTTTTAATAAATGTTGAGTCATTATATTAAATAATGCTTATAAAACAACAATTAAATCGCTAATAATACCTCTGTCATGAATATCAGTTATTACTCATTTTGTTGGTCTTGTGCCAAAGTTTTTGCTATCTTTTCATGAACTTGAAAATTGAGGAGAAGCCACTTCCTGTTTTTAAAGTGTTGAAAACAGTGAATTGAACCGTGTCCTGTTACATCATTTCCTCAAAGAAGAGGTGGCTTGGCTTCTACAGGTGGCAGTGCTGTTGTTAAAGCGCTGGATTAGATTTTTTGGCACGGAAAATATTACAGAGTTCAACCAAGGAAACTAAACACGTAAAAAGATAACAACTTCTATGCTATAAAACACAATCTGGTTAGCCTTTAAAATGTTAATTCTCACTCAAGTACAATATTTACATTCTCAGCAATTTGAGAGTATAAACTGTGATGATTTAGATGTACAAGAATTATGGTCATATATAATTCATGTGTCAGATTTTGTCAAAATGTAATTAATTGGGGAATGCTTGGTGTTGCTTTGCTCTAGAGATACTGTAAATATATACATACACAGTATCTAGAGCAAAGCGCAAATCACATATAAAAATATAAATTCAACACCAGAATGTGTGGGGAAAGGTGGCAGCGCTGCAGTCTGCCTGCAAAGATTTAGTAGCACAGATTTGTTTACAGTGAGAAAAGTAGACTTTGCATTGCAGCACTGTGGCAGAAGTTGGCAGCTTTTTTCTACTATTTTCCTCATATTGTTTTACAGTAAATGTCCAACTTCCTTATACTTTCAGTAAATGCATAACCCAAATGGTTACATAACCTTTTGTGACTTATGCATGAACAAATATGAGGTCTTCAGTATTTGTCAAGGTTTTGCATTTACCATCCGGTCATCAGAAATGAAGAAAAGAATTCACCCTGGGGTGAATAATTTACATTGGATGGTCTGCTGCTATTCTATCTCAGTGGAAAACAGCAAGTGAAGTGGAATGTGTGAGAGTGAGAAAATGAGTCAGAGGAATGTTGAAAGCCCCTGCAGTTTAAAAAGATGTAGCATTGCTGTAGCAACCAAGTGAACTCTGCTAACAGAAGCTCAGCGTTGGGTTAAACTTCCTCAACTGTCAAATTCAGCCACTTTTTCAATGAAATCAATTGCTACTTTGCGTGCCATTTGAGCTACATAAGCCAAAGCAGGAAGTTTTTCTCAGGATTTTGCAGGAGTGAAATGGAGTAAAATTAGTTACAAGTCATGGGTCAGCCATGTCCAGGAAGTCTTTCTCAGGTGGCGGTCACCCCCGGTACCAGCTACAGGTTGTGTCAGAACGGCGGATACAGGCGTACTGCCGAGCCTGCTCCCCATTTAGGCTGTTATCCAGCAACCAGTCAGTCCACAAGCACTCGTTTTCTCCTGTAGACGCACATGGGACTGTGTAACAGGTGTTGATCTGTGGATACAAGAGTTTTTGAGTCATACGTTCACTCATCTCAGTGTTTGTTCCTGAAGTTGGCCTTCCCTGTGACTTGTGTTGTGGTGGTATTTCTAAGGAACCTGAAGCGTCTCTGTAGACACATGAGATCAACTGTTTATCGGAAAGAGAGCGCACAACACACTTGAGAGTGTTTTGTACTGAAATGGAAAGAGAGTTTGAGCCAGAGTAAGAGATGAGAAAAGTGACCTTGTTGCTATCGGTTGCTTTGTTTCTTGAGGCGTCTCTAAGACAGATAGATGAGTGGGACGAGGATGAATATGTATGAATGGAGAACAAGCAGTCCTTACTCACTCTGCATTCACAGCCCATCTGGTATCTGTAGTTGAGATTCTTCTTCTGTGACAGTGATAAGTTGTCCCAGGACTCTACTAGGTCGCATTGGCCAATAGAAATTCTCCCATCGCTCCACATACTTCCTGTTTAGTGACATCACAACACTGCCATTGAAAATGTCATCTAGCACACAGCAAGTTAAGTTGTGTTGCTGTATTAAAAAGTCTACTGTATATATGGACATTTTACAATGTTTACAACGTTTGCTTTTTAAAAGACACTTTCAGAAATACACATACAGTTGCCGTCTTGCCAAGAGTTACATTAGAAGATGGATACCACTCTCATATCCATACGGTTATCTGAGCTTTGCAAAACTTTTAACAAAGAGGGAAAAGCTAGCCTTGGTCTTTATGCTAAGCTAACCGACTGTAGCCTCACATTTACCGTACAGACATTAAAATCATGTTAATCTTCTCATCCAACTCTTGGCAGAATAGCAAGTGAATACACGTATTTCCCAAAATGTTGAACTTTCTGTTGCTTTTTCCACCTAAAAGTGCAATATACAAACGTTACTGTACCTGAGAGCAAGTACCCTGCTTTATTGTTGGAGTCCAGCTTGACTCCACACAGTGAGGAGAAGACGGGAGTGTACACGTACTGGATGTCCTTGGCCTTGTCAAAACCTTTGAACATCTGGACACAGAGGAAAAGGGGAAGGTATAAGACTGGCCTAATATAAATGAATGCACTATATAAATATAGCATAGTGGTTCTTAATGCCACCGCGACCCGACCCCGGATAAGCGGTGGAAAATGGATGGATGGATGGTTCTTAATTCCTCAGTAATCAAACAGATGTGAATTCAACTCCACAATGTAGAAATGACACTGGCTGTAAATAAAGAATGACCACAGTTTGGATACTGGGCAGACACTAACTGCTCAGTGTTCGTTAGTAACACCATACGGTCGAGTGGAGATTGAGATTGAATTTGACTGTTTCTGTTTGTTTGAATGTTGTCAACAATAGTCCAATCAGAATTTGTTTACTTTTCGTGGAAGACGGATGTAGCCAGTAACCACATTAATTACACGGCTACTCACAGCAGCATAGACAATAACAAATGATGAATGTCTGCACCGACAGCAGCTGTTACTGCTGTATTCAGAGGTCTCACCTTGATCATTTTGATCTCATATTGGATCATCTTCATGTAAGGTGAGGAGCTGTTGCTAAGCGACACAATCTTCTCTCCGGAGATCTTTGCCCTGATCACTGTCAGGAAAGGGAAATAACAGAGATACAGGAGGATTTAGATGAATTGAAATGCCAAATACATGCAGGAGGCAAGATAAGAATGTGATTTACATGCCAGAGACAATGGAAAACATCCTGAATTCTGCATATTTCTACATATACGTTTTTCCTTCACTCTAGTTATTAGATGGACAAATTGCTGGGATTCCTTTTTCTTTCTAACCCCCCTCCTCCCTCCTTTTCTGTCATTTTGCTTGTCACTCGTCTTTCTCTCCTCAAAGACAGTGTAGCAGTCCCTCTCAGTAGTGATACAGGATGTGTCCCTCCTCTCCTCTGGGAGGGAAATCAAAACCCACATGGAATATCAAGTAGCTTTCTGCTTGCACACTCTCATTAGCCGACTCCACACACACGCTCACAAACACACATTTATGTATACAGTATATACCACACACACTTTTACTCAGACCAAACCATGTCTGGCACAGAGGTAAGTTAAAGTTATTTCATCCCGTACTGTAAATCAAGTAGAAGGGTAAGATAGCAGGATAATTGGTCTGTGCTTCTCAACAGGAAGTAAAGAAGTAAAGTAAAGATTTTACAACCTCTTAGTTAGAGACAAAACACTCATTACACTTTAAATGTTATTAATGTTGCACATGTTACTCTCAAAGACCACAACATGCAGTTCAAACAGTCAAACCGACTTCATTGATGCAGAACCATCAAACCCATAAGAGCTGCAGCTTTAGACATCTGCATGACTCATTATGTTAACTGCCAAATTAATTTCACTGTCAAACATTTCCTTTAAACTAATAACACTGCAGTAGCTCCATCAATCAGACATAATTAAGTTGACTATTATAGCTTTCTCCCAGGTTATCAAAAAGTCCCACACAGTTTGAACATGGCAAACAGCTGCATTAACTATTAACTAACATCATAATGCATAACAATGCATAGTAGTAGTAGTCAACGTCATACTTCAAACTGAGTTAGGGGTTATCTCCACGACGTATGTACTTATGTTCAGCTCCGTTCACAACTGCACGTCCACAATGAGACCTGGAAGCTACTATGGAGGATAACATTCGCAGCTCTGTTCTGCTTATAGTATTTCAGGAAGGTAACACTCCAGCAGCTTGGACTTACGTTGGTTAGTCCTCAAGCTGAACACCTTTTCTCATGTAACTTTAGAATTGAAACACACTGTTTGTAAATATGAAGATTAAAGAATAATTCGCTGAGTACCTAACAGTATAGCCCTACACTGAAATATAAGAAGAACACACAATGTCATGTCTGTAGTATTCAATTCAATTTTCAAATTTTTAAGGAATACATTAGAAACATTAAAAAGACGTCGGACTAGAAAAGGTAAGCCTACTTTTGTCTATCTATAAACAAGTTATGCACACATATGAAGAATCTGTAGGCAACGGGACAAGATTTTGGCATCTGAAGCATTTTGGTTTTGGTTTGTAGTCCGTCTAGTATTAACCAATCACATGCAGGCTTTGGTTGAACGCAGGTAAACAGTCTGTGTTGAGAGCAAAAGAGGCGGAAGGCATCGGCCAAAAAGTAATCTGGCAACCCACCGGATATCGTCTGACAATAATTAAGGTTTTTATTGGTTTAAATTTTGCTTGTAAACTGGTTACTTGTTAAAACAATCCGGTCGTACACGTCATCTGTCGACTCCAACTCCAGTCTGGTACCTCAAATTTCTAATCGGATTGTAGACAATGAGCAGCACACTGGAAAAAGGAAGTCTTGGCCCAGATATCGGCTCGCTACACCAGAACCCCAAAAACATAGCCCCTATCCTCCAGAGGCTTATCCATCGTCAGACCGATAGCTGATTTGACTACCCACTATTATCATTGTAAACAGCATTATGTGTAGTGTGAGAAGCTTGACAGGTGTACCAACAGTAAGTAAGGCTTAGCAAAGACGATTGATTATACTGTTGATTATGTGTATGATCAACAACATAGATATGATGTACTTAAATATATTTAGTTTGACCTGGCGATCAATGACAATCATGCAATAAGTTGCCTGTAATGCCCATTACCTATATAAGTATGTGGCTATATAATTACTATTCCACATTATTCTCTCTAAAAGAAAGAAAAAGGTTCCCTGTAGATGAACCAGAATGAGATGGAAAAAGAGAAGGGGAGAGACGGATAAGTGAAGCTCGTGACCTTGGTATAACGTGAAAGAAAGACAAAAGCTACAGTATAATAGAGAGAGACAAAGTGTGACCCAGCACCCCTCCTTACACAGCTACGCAAACCACCGCCTTTGTTTGTGCTTTTCGCCTCATCACATGTGAAATTAGTTCAGGAGAAAAAGAACAGGCTAGCAGATAGAAAGGCAGGCAGACAAACAAATGTACAGACAGGAAGTTAATGGGAACTTGTGTGAGGTTGTGTAGTTTAATCAGAGTGCGCTGCAGCGCCCACAGAGAGCAGCTGGTCCAAGGTTGTTACTTTATAGAGAATGTCAGAGAGCACAAAACGCTAGCTCGTATAACTTTGTTATGCTTCAATCTTATGTTGCATAACTGATTTAGACTTGTTGCATGTCAGAAACAAGTAGATATCAAATCTAGTAAGTGCATAGATGCTCTATAATACCTAAGAATACACTTAACAAGGTCTGACCTCACAAGGACACACCTGCCTGTGAACACACCTGCACGCATTGACCTAATAACGGCATGCAACGAATTAGAGCTCAGTTAGATTAAAAGGTAATACATAAGTATAATCCATAGGTGCTTGTGTGTGTGTGTGTATATATATATATATATATATATAGTTTATATATATATATATATATATATATATATATATATATATATATATATATATATAAACTATATATAAACAACTGTGACCAAGAAATGTACTAAGCAGGACATTTTACAGCTAACAAACTTTGTCTCTGGTGGACAAAGTCTGTAATGGAGACATTGTTTATACCACAAACATATCTTAAGCATTTTTTCTTCACTTCCCTGTTACTTATAGACAAATAGACCAATACGATCTGTGATAGGCCAAAGCTGCCAGATTACTCTCTAAGAACTCTTGTTGGAATTGTCACATATTTTCGGAACCCCCTCCCCCTGCATCTTTTCGACAACGGATTAGTGGGGGCTGTGTCCGAGCTTTCTGTAACTTCCCGAATCCATTCACTCTCACTTCACATGGTGATTGGCCAGCTGTGTGCAAGTTAGAAAGTAAGCTGGGCTTGAACAACACATCACAAGAACTAGTTCTGTATGATTATAACCAGACCCTAATACTTGCTTATTTACCAGCCCAGCAGATTTATCAGTTTAACTGTACTTGTAAAGAAGTATTTTTACTTTCAGTTTAAGTTTAAGGGTATCTGAATACTTCCACCATTGATAATTCAAAAAAATGCAGCAAGTGTTGTTTTTACAGGCCAATGTCATCAGCATAACCCTCTCCTCAACTACGATTACACCGCTGAATAAGGCTGTCATGCTCACTACACAGAAATACTCTGTACCAATGATGACTATCATATTATTGCCCTCTTGGTTTTCAGTTCAGCTCTTTGATCTGCACTTCCTTTGGCAAGAAGAAACATATCTGAAAGTAGATGAAGTGCGTTGGCAAATTAGCCGACCCATTTAAATCTTCAGAGCAGAATAATGGGTCTATGTCGTCTATTAATGGTAAGTATTACACCACGGCATACCCGTGCTCTGTGTAAGGATCAAATAGTTGGCAGTCTGAGCATTGGCTGTGTATCACTGCAACATGGAAGAGGACAGAAGTTGCTATAGCTAATTAACCAAGAATAGTACAGTCGTTTTTCCATTACAGCAGATAGTAGTAGCACCTTCCAGACTTATTATTTTTCGGGCAGTGATATATTTAAATGGCATTTACTGTGGAATTTAAATGTAATAACTGAACAAGAAAACTCATTTTATTCCAAGTTTGTTGCCTCTTCCTAAAATGATTCTCTTGGCCCAGATTCTCTGAAATGTTTACCCCCCCCACCGAGACATCTTTGAACTGTCCAGGCTAGGTTACCCTCTCAATTCAGTTGCTGCAGCTGTGTTATGAACAGGAACAAGGACAGGCACGCCTGCAGAGTGAAAGTGGCCGTGCATCTTCCTCACAGCTACATAACCAAAGAGAAATATTGCAAGCTTGTACCATGAGAACTGATGTAGTAAGTAACTTCCCCCCTCCCTGATGAATTGGCACCCTTGTCATGCTCACAAAGCTGGACTGTCAGTGGGCTTTCACACTGATATTGTTAGTATGCAGACCATTAGACCAAGCCTATAGACATGGAAATGAAGTGGGGAGAGAGAGGGAAAGAAAGAGAGAGAGATGGAGTAGGCTGTGTTGGCATGGCTTGGCCTCCGTCCAACTAACACACACACACACACACACACACACACACACACACACACTCATGCACACAATCTCAAATACACAAACAGGGCCAGGGAATCGTCCAAGGTTTGTCCAGATGGGATATTACTTAGATGTACAGCTTTATTCAAAGGGCTCATCTACTCTGACAGCACTGTCGGGTCAACTAAAGGCCACCACCACCCTATGCTTAGAAAACAACCAGGACAGAGTAACAACAGATGCCGCCAAATGAAAAGTTTTCTTTGACACACTTAGTGTGAGAGAGGGATTTTCCTTATTTGGTATTCATGGCTCCAAAAAGTTGCATCCTACATGAAAGAGACCAATGACTCTTGTATCCATTCAGAGGTGGACTCATGTATTCAAAACTAAACACAGACCCGAGCGTACCCCGAGGAAATGGGATCCAATTACAAAAGAACCTGTGGTTAATTGAACATTTGTGAAGTCCCGCCCCTTATAGTTACTGCTGCTATGCCTGTCAAGCTTTCCGCTCCTGCAGTTTACAATGATAATGGTGGAAGACTTAACTCTAGTAACAGTTCATGATATGCCGCTCGGCTTTTGAAGCAATGCTGGTAAGTTAGTTATCCCAACATGCTAATGTTTGCAGCTCACTTTAGAACAGAAGCACACAGTTTGATCCACTCTTCGCACTTTTGCTCTTGTGTCTTTGGTTTTGAAAGGATATAATACAAAGACACAACCCTCCACACTCACAGGATACTTAGTATCGCAACATTCCATTTCACACCGCTGTAACATGTGGAGAAATCCAAAATCAACAGACGTACTGTAACTAGATACAGTTGCTAAGCTCTAATTGGACAATTGGGGGAGGGGATTAGAAAACGTTCCATTGGAATCCATTTTGTTTGGCTCCAGTGGAGCACATGGAAGAAGTTTACCTCCAGGGCTTTCTGCCAGAAAGGGTTAATGTTAACGCAAACCATGATTATTTCCTAAACCCAATCAAGTAGGTTTGTTGCCTAAAACTAAGGATAGTTCTGGCAGAATGCCCTGAGGGCAAACCTCTCCCATGTGCAGGCAGAAACAGAGACAAAGTGGTTCAACATGTATCGTTTGCTGATGAGCTGCAATATTTGCAACATGTTCATTTCAATAGCTTTGTTTTTGAATCTTAGCCTCACGATTTACATGAGAATAACATGCATGCCCTGCTTTTGTGTCTTGTTTTAGGGTTCTTGTTACGTTCCCCGTTCTGGCATCTAAGGGATGCGGGGAGTAACGGTGTTATTTACCCGGGGAAAGAGAGACTGAGCAACACGGCACGTAACAGTTCTTATGTGACCAATGACAGAAAATAGAGCAAAAGACCAAAATATTATAAAACTGGACCCAGTGCTATACCAGCATCTGACTGGAGAGTCGTTGTCTGTTCTAACTCATCGGGACTAAGTCAATATCAGGCCTGTCTGAAAACCTTAAATTGTTCAGATGGAGAAAACAGAATAATCGTATGGGACCTCCATCTCACTCTTTGATGACACACTTCATACGTAAAACTCTGCCCCAAATACCCTCAATGTGATCTCATAACCCAGATCTAATTTGGCATGTTGGCGGTTTTGAAACAGGTCTCAGCTCCATTTCAGACTGAATATTATTTTGAGGCACATTTTACTTTGAAAGGAGCTGACCCACTCGAAACCTGAAGGGAGAAACAGACCAATTAGAAAAACCAGACTAAAATACCGTGAAGCAATTTCTTTGTCTACTTTCTCTTTCTCTCTGCCTCTCTCCTCTGCTGGTGTGTAACCTTTGACAGAAGCACATACTCCAGCTTTCCACAGTCTCGAGCCAAGTACTCAAAGTCAGAGCAGAGTGTTGGTTTTGGCCTCTGCTTGGACAAGAAGGATGATGGGGGGGCGTCAGACAGGGAGACATGCAGACAACCCAACGGACAGACAGACAGATAGAAAGAAGGCCAGGACCACTTGGCGCTCGCTGCTTTTTTTAGGGTTTGTTTTTATGCAATAGAAAGAAGGAAGACTCAATTATTTAACAACAAAAAAACAGACACCTGGCTGCCCTGTTGTCAAATAACAACAGGGCTGGAAGTGTATTCATCTTGGTATAAAAGAAAAAAGAAAGACCAGCTATTCTATATAGTGCTTTAATAACTTAGACTGTCAATATTGTCTGCATCAAACTGATCGTTTCCATGAATATCATTGGAAAAAGCCAAAATGATAAATCAACATTTCTTTCCATTAAATACCACAAAAAGCTCAGAGGCCCTATTGATTAGTCCTTGTCGCAGGAGGTTTTAAATGTGGATTTGAATTGTTGTGAAAATCCAATCAAGACGATCAAAAAGCCAAATCATCAATCAGTCAGTTATGAAGGAGAGACATTCCTTGCATTTTAAAACCACACACTCACTTTTTAGTTAATTAAACGGAGGAGCTTTTATATTTTCTTACATAACTCTTATCTCAGTGAACAGACGCTAAATGGGTCTGCAGTTATTAACTCACCGATCTCAGCGCTGCAGAATAGCTGCTGTGGGTGTGCTGGGTGGCAGCTACATCCCTCCACGACTTCCTCCATGCCTGCACCGAGCAAAAGGAGCACCCAGAGCCCCAGACACGCACTCCGCTCCTGGGACATGGTCATGATGACTCTGGCTGCCTCTGACCGCTCCGCCACTCGATGAACGCTCGGCAAACCTCTTCTGATCCTGTTAGGTTCCACGGGAAAAGTAAATCGGGCAGCAACGGGGATGGGGGGTGGGGGAGGATAAGACAGTAGAGTCAATGTAGTGAGATGAGCTGAAAGGCAGCTGTGGATAAAAATGTTTAAAGTTCAAAGTACACCTCTGAATTTGAGCTGGAGAAAATTGCTTGGGTTGAAGGGAAGGCTGCCACTGCTCTCTGTCTCTCTCTCCCTCTCTCTGTCACCCTCTCTCCCTCTCTGTAGACAACACACAGAGAAACTTACAATAGTTGGATCCCCTCACACTCTGGTCTTGAATGCTGAGAGGGTCGCACACAGGGAGCCTCTTATGTACTCAACAATTTAGGGACAGCCTCCTCAAACGCAGGGAAAAAAAGCTACCATCCTCGCCTCTTGCACCCTCTTTTGATGTCCTCCCTCTTCTCCCATTGGCTGTCGTGGGTTAGTCATGAAAATGATGACGGATTAATGAAGTATTGTCGAACGGGTTTGTGAAGCATTTATAAATTAGACTAATGTTCATCTTTTCCGGTGCAGCTCGTGCGACCATCAGTGCAGCATCTTATCCATAAAAGCAAACGATAATCATAAAAATGATCGCAGCAGTAAAAACCCAAAGAAACACATTTGTATGAGAAAATGCAGCTCTAACATTGGGAATGCTTGTTAATTTGTGAATCTGTACCAAACAAGAGGCTAAGTGTCGCGCTGTATTAAAGTTTAGAATCTTAATGTTCAGATATGCAGATATCCGCATCCGTTTCCTTGCTTGAACTTCTTATTTGTGATTCTATGAAAACTAAGAATTGTGTTAAGGAGGGTTTACTGAAAAAAGTACACAACCTGCACAGCACCGAATAGCAGACATGCAAAGTTAGCAACTAACCGGTCAACATAGTGGAGCACTTAGTAGTTAAAGAGACAGATATTTCCATCAGGACGTGTTCTAAGCAAAACAAAAACGAAAATGACAGTTGACTTGCTTTCATCAAGTGTTCATAATCACAAGTCCACATTCATGCTAATGCTTCTCTGTCTGCTAGTTGTACACATATAGAAACTAAACCGTATGTCATATGAACGTTGTATGGTGATATGTATGTGATAATAATAATAATATTATATAATATGGGATCAATGTATGGTGTATAACTCTTTTTTCACTGACTTTTCAGTGTGATGATATGTTGATAGTCATTCTGTATTGTTCTTCATTATTCATCTTTTGATTATGCTATTGCTCTTCAGATTACATCACCGAGTTTCCCAGTGGTGGTGAAGATTGGACACGCCCACTCTGGAATGGGAAAGGTAATGTTGAGTCTTTTTTTTTGCCAATCTAAAATGCTATTCACATGAAAGATTTGACCTCCTGCAGTATGTGTGATCAAATGATGATACAGGAATCCAACGGTTTTGTCTTGTTTGAATGGAAGACACATTGACGTGTCAGTAAAGTGGGGAAAATGGCGGAATGTTGGACTGAAGCCCACCCTTTGACCGTTGCATCATGTGACAAATTTCCATCGGGAAGTGCTTTAATACCCTTCTGTGTGCCTAGATATAGTTGAACGGTTTACACTAAGCACCATCAGGTCTGGAACCACATCGTTTGTACTGTGTAATGTGTTTTCTGACATGCAATACCAGCTAAAGGACCAGTGTGTAAGATTTAGTGTCATCTCAAGTTGAGGTTGCAGATTGCAACCAACTGAACACCCCTCTGCTCACCCCTTCCTTTACAAGAATCTAGAGAACCTACAGTCGCCTTCAGGTAATGCAAAAGGCTCTCTCAAGAGTCAGTATTTGGTTTGTCTGTTCTGGGCTACTGTAGAAACATGGCAGTGCAACATGGCGGACTTGTTGAAGAAAACCCGCTCCCCGTGTAGATTTAACTGCCTCATTCTAAGGAAAAACACTAAATTCTTAGTTTCAGGTGATTATACACTAATGAAAACAGACGTCTGGGGAGAGGTTATGTGTTCGCTCGTATCCGACTCTGTGAGTCCATGCGTCCGTGACTGAGTGAGTGTGCCCCTCTGTGTCTGTCCACGGCTACTCTTCAACAAACTGCATATTATTATGCATGCCAAGTTATGGCTGCATGCTCAAGGATCTCTCGTGGTTGCAGTGACTTACACTTTGTAAAAACACCTTTTATTACCTGTTTTATACTGCCTTTGACTGCCGGCCGGCTCCTCGCTTACTACTCTTAACCGACCCCCGGCTGGTAGGAACGACTAGTGATAACACAGCTGAAGGCATCGCTGACCCCCAGCAGCTGCTCTGTGACCAGAGACAAAGTGGGGCAGAAACAATTTGAACACTGTTATTGTTTTGGACGGTGTTTGGCTAACAGATAACAGAACTACCAGTGCACACACTGCCGTACCTCGCCGCCACTCAGCTGCAGCTAAGCGGGCTTACAACTTGGTGAGTTTTCCTTTGTGTTTTGGCACGATTGTATGATGTGTATTATACGACGGCTTTGAGCCCATTATTATGCTTGTATAAGGTTAGTACCGCTTGTTTTTGAGTTTGAATGAAGTCAGTTTGACGGCACTTTAAAGCACTTTAAAGACAGCAGTCTTTGCAGACACACCTACTACTGAGTGCACCTTTCTAGTTATTAATCTTATATTCCATTTCTGCCAATAAATCCCCCTAAATCCTCACACTGGTCCTTTAATATCTGTCCTCTGTTTTCCTTTTATCTGTCTTTCTCAATTCATTCTTCCTCTCATGACTGCAGCACATCCTTATCTCCTCATTCTCCCTCAGTCCTTTTTTTCTCTCCTCTCATTGTGCTGGTATTGATCGACAACTGTGTTAATATTTAGATCAGAGTGAAGTGTTTAGCCTCTCTCCATCACTCCTCATCGATCCTCCACACGTCATTCCCCTGGACGGCTCAATCTGATATCTGATGTGTTACTGTCCGCTGGCTCAGTCTAACTGGGCCGCCGCCTGTCAGCCTGTTCCTTTTTGCCCTCCTTTATCTTAACATCTCATCTCCTACACACCTGTGTTGTGCTACAGATGTCTCTAGTATCTGTATCACTGATCTATTTTAAGAAAGACACCTTTCCTTTTGATGAATACTGTACAAAATAGTTTCCACTTTGCTTTGACACTCACGTCTCGCTTACATTCCACTCGGTGGGTATTCCCAGTTATGGTGCATACAATACAATACTGTTGATGAGCTTATTTAAAAAATTACATTTACATAGAAATCATTTCTGTATTGAAAAATAAGACATAAAGCCTAGCCTTACCTTAAATGCATGTGTTTCTTATGTGCTGTTCCTCTGTAGGTCAAGGTGGACAATGTGAGTGACTTCCAGGACATTGCAAGTGTGGTGGCCATCACTCAGACCTACTGCACCACAGAGCCATTTATAGACGCAAAGTACGACATCAGGGTCCAGAAAATCGGAGTTGACTACAAAGCATACATGTGAGTGTCCCTACATACCTTTGGTCTTCAGCAGCCCGCCACCTATACAATATAGATTAAGCCATATGTTTAAAACATATTGCTTGGAAACTTTTCATATTACAAAAAACAAAAAATATAAAGAATGATATTTGCATTTCAGTGTAATACACATAGGCTACTGGAACATCTTAAAGACTGGCACCTACCAAACTCTGTGATTTGTGACAGTAATTACAAATCACAGTTGATTTTTGATGGACAAATGTGTTTTTGTGGGAGTTCCTCAGCTGAAGCAGTTCTGTCTCTTGAACAATCAGAGAATTGTATAGCATTCATCAGCTTCTGGAAGTCGTGGCGTCTCTTTCCTTTTCCCAAGCAATGACCACAACAGCTGAAGGCCAAGCTTTTCTAGCAAAGTGCAACACTTGTAAGATCTTCTGGCTTCAAATATCAAAGAAAATGCTGCCCTGCACTATACCTGACCTCGGGGTGCTGCGCCATAATGTGAGAGTGCGCTCATTGTTTTCATCTTTGTGTCTGTATTTATTCATAGTAACAGTGAGCCACAGCACCACGATGAGGGCAAACAGGAAAACACGACAAATGCTTTAACTTGCACCCACAAACAAAAAATGTAACACTCTTACACACCTTATGTCTCAAGCAATCCTTTACACTTTTTAGAAAGTTTTTTTATTATTGAAAACATTTGAACTCTAGAACATTGTTATAAACAAATAGTTTGAGGATTACCAGGGAGTTGAGTGCTTAACTGAATGAATTAGACAGGGTGTGTTATAGTCCTGGATTTGTAGTGTGTAAACCTGTACATCTACTGTAAAACAAACCAAAGTAACTAGTCAATTTATCCGGATTCTAATCAGCCTGGTAACCTGCAGCTGTGCATGTTGCCTGCATACTGACTTATTACCTGACAGCTTGGGCTGTAACCCCACCCCTCCTGCTACAGGGCTGTCTAAGTCTCTCTTCCCTCTATTTACAATTTCTACAAGTGAAAGTGATTTAACGCCCAATTTCCTCTTGTTTTCCAGGCGAACATCCATCTCTGGTAATTGGAAGAGCAACACCGGATCAGCCATGTTGGAACAAGTAGCCATGACTGACAAGTGAGGGTCGCATCAGCATTAGTGACGCTCAGGCTGTCCTTGTGTCGCACATGTCACAGTTAGTCACAATGTGCTCTCATAGCAGATTCATTGAGCTGAAACCAGTTCACATGAGTAAACACTGATGTTTGGAAATCAGTTTGAGTTTGTAGTGGCATTTATTTTTCCTTTGGCTAAGGAAATGTTCTGCTTTTTTTACATTGAGCTGCTCTGCTCATGGCTACATTTTAGATTATAGTCCTTTTGCAAAGCGTGTATTGTGACCTTTCACAGCAGGTGTGAATAAATACATTAATATTGTATGCTGGCTCACTTGCAAGGCTTGCAGAGACGCCAAAAATGAAACAGAGCAGCCATAAATGTTAATTTATTTTCTGTTTGTCAAAACACAGTGCAACTGTGACAAAGGTCTTTTGTCAGATATAAGAGAATTGAGTGTTGTTGTTGCACCGATGTCTGTGTGGAACACCACTGAAAGAATAGCTAAAAATGTATACATAAATACTGAATACCTGAATTATGTAAAACAGTGCAAAGTAGTATATTTTTCTGCTGTAGTACAGTCCCATTGTCAATGTGGGTGTTAGTATTGATGTGCCTGCATCTGCCCTGGTTTTATTGTGTTCAGTTTTCCAGACGTCAAGTCAATGGAGCCCTTTACACCCAGCAGCAGCAGCACCTTTATGGGCTTCGGCCAGCCCAGCCCCGAGCTAGAGAGGCTCTGTAACAGGTTTACAGTGAGGATAAGTGCCCTCAAGAGCAACATTGGCTCTGACTTACAGTGCCAAAGTGATACATAAGTCAATATTATTGAAAAGGTAGTGTGCTGTGTGCTAGAACAAAACTTAATTTGTTTTACTTAGGTAAGCAAGATGGTGTAAAGCAGGACAAGTTATCTTTTGACTTCCAGTTCTTTATACAAACAAGTTAAATACCTGCAACTGTTGTTGACCTCTAATAGCAACTCAGCAAAACAATTATTGTACATACAGTAGTGGTACTCTATTTGTGATTTGTTGTTGTACCTAATCTAACTTCTCTATGTGACAGGTATAAGCTGTGGGTTGATACCTGCTCAGAAATCTGCGGAGGACTGGATATCTGTGCTGTCAAAGCCATCTGTGGCAAGGATGGTAATGACTACATCACTGAGGTGAGGAAAACACATAAAGAAGGGAGAGAGAGAGAGCGATAGAGGGATGGATGGAAACTCAAAAAAATCTGTCTATCGCTGAAACAGTTGACAAGGCACTAAATACAATAAGTCACATAACTCTTATTTTGCAGCTGCCATATTATCACTTCATAACTTTCACCATGTTCAGCCTGGGGGAGTTTTATTGGAATACTAATGAAGGTCTTTGAGTCTTAAATTTAGCACGTCTGGCCTAATTTTCACTGCTAGCGCCTGAGATTATCTGGCTGGGAATAAACTGATTAAATCTAATCTGAATACACATCATGAGTTTGATAACCAACATCTGGTGATATTTTCAGGGTAAGTATCTCAGTATTTATTCTCTTCAGCTACAATTTCCCCCCACTTGCCTGTCACTTTCCAGTAAATTTCCACAAGTCATGACCATAATGGTTGTGAAGAACACATCATTGTTGGAATGTGCTTTGCTGTAATGATACCTTTCCTAAAAGTCAAGTGGTTACGTCTCAGTATGGAAAATTCCTAAATACTCTGATTCCATCATTGTCACTGAAGAAACAGTTAAGAAAAGAGCTTTCAAGGACTGTGGGAGATTACACAAAACATATGGTGTTATTAAGATTGGACATATTAAACTGAGCAGTGGGGAAGCTTTTACCTATTACAGTTCTGGCCTGAGGCACCAAAAAAAAGCAAGACCCAAATGCACTGTGACACAGCTGGTCATGGGGTGAACAACCAGCTTATTGCCCAAAGTTATAACATGGAGCTGGTGTGCAGTGTCTTGACAGATTTAGGGGTCACGTACACAGACTATTCAGTTTCGGATCAGACAGAGATTCAGGTTCAAGTGCAGTATCAGACAGAGTGGGTGGCTCTGGATGTAGCAGCAGGAACAGGGACTAATTTGACCACAGGATTGAGCTGTTGAGTGACCAAGATTTCTGCCAGCTCGAGGAGCAACTTGACAAGCCAGGGTTTGTAGGACACAAGATGGAGTGCTGTAGAGAGAGCTGCTTCTATGTGGTTGGCAGTAAGTACAGAGGCACTGAGTGGTGTGGGTCAACTCAGCCCCCCGCATTCATGGGAAAAGCTGGGTCAGCCGGGTCAATTCTTAGCAAAATTCTGGATTTAAAATGCAGACAGTGATGCTGCACATATGGATAAAGACAGTCGATAAACACGCTCACGGTTGGTCATGAATTGGCAGTCTACACTTTGAAGTAGGCTGACTGTCAGAATGAGATATTCAGTAGTTTGTTTGGAGGTCGATTAGATACTAAAGTGGGAAAGATGTGAAAAACATGTCTCCCCATGAGTCATCGCCACTGGAAAAGTGTTTTGTTTTTTACAGTGATGCGGTAAAATTGTTGAGTGGATATCCATTTACAGGGATGTCACCGTCTGTCTTATTTAGCAGCAGCCTGACTGCCACAGTGATAAAAACATTTGGGTTACTGAAAACAACGTTGATCACCACAATTTGAAATTCCATAATTGCCATTCACATATAAACATATATTTTAAAAGATAACCTTTCTGACAGTATCCCAAAAAGCCTACAAGGCTTGTCATTAAAAAAGGCACACAATTTCTGATGCCTGTGTCCTCTTTGTCCAGGTTGTGGGTTCATCTATGCAGCTGATTGGTGATCACCAGGCAGAGGACCGCCAGCTCATCTCAGAGGTGGTGCTGGCTAAGATGAGCCAAGCTCTGGCTACCAGGTCATCTAGTGCTTCCCGCTCACCTGCCCGCTCCCCTCAAGGCCAGAAGCCAACGACTGTGCAGCCCCAACAGGTAGAGCATGATGAATGAAAGCCATGTATTTATAATGGATGTCCCAAAATTAATAGCTAAAATGGCACATGCTCATACATCATTTGCTTCAATTGTCCTTGTGTATATAAAGAGAGGCAAGTTCAGAAACATAAGGAGTTATTGTCTGCAGGACAATCATTTTTCAGTTCACTGCTGATTCTTTACCAGAACCCACTTAACCATGTTTGCCTTCTCTCTCTCTCTCTCTCTCTCTCTCTCTCTCTCTCTCTCTCTCTCTC